GGCCCAAACCAGGCCAGTTTACAGCATCCGGCATATGTGGGGCTCAAGTTTGGGGTCAGGCCTGGCTGAGCTAGTTCATAATACCCACTGGCAGATGTGAGAACCAGAACAGGGCACAGGATAGGCTGGGTCAGGCCACAACACCAGCCAGTTCACATTAGGGCTGGGGCTAGGGGCTGGCTGGGCTGGGCTGGGCTAGGTCACAGCACCCACTAGCATAAGCTCGAACTGGGAGTCGGCTGGACTGAGCCAGGCTACAGCACCTGCTGGCAAACGCCAAAGTAAGGCAGGCCATGCCAGACTGGGCCTCAATATCCACCAGCATACCTGAGACAAGATGGGGGGTGTATGTGTGCAAGCCTTGTAGTGGGGCTGTGGGGGACAGTCCTGTTGGGCCACTGTTCCCACTGGAGGTCCTGTGAACTGGCAGCAAGGGTAGACCAGGCCAGGCAGGGCTACAACACCTGTTGGCCTGCACATGAACTGGGTTAGAGGGAGAGCCATGCTGGGCTAACCGACTGTATCCACTGGTGCATGCATGAGTAGAACAGGCTGGTTGGGCTTTGCTCCAGCATCAGCTCTCAAGTTCTGGGACTGGATCAAATCCTGTGAAGCTGGACTACAGAACCACCTCTAAAGTACAAGATCCAGGACTGGGAATGGACCTAGCAGGGAAACTATGAGAACCTCTCTGATGGGCTGCAGCTCCCACTGGTGAACATGAGAATCAGGGTTGGGGATGGGCCTGGTTAGAAAGGCAGTGGCACCCGCTGGCATGAATATAGACTGGATAGTGGGGTTGGTTGGGTTGAGCTAGGCTTCAAAGCCCATTGATATATATGAGAGCTGAATGGGATGTGGAACAGACTGAATGGGATGTGTTTACCAGTCTGTTCCACATTCTGGCAAACACAGGAACCAGGGCTGGAAGTAAGCCTTGTGGGGTTGTTGGTTGTTTTGGTCACTCCAACTAGGCTGCTGTTCCCACTGGTGTATGTGATGGCTGAGTATCTGGTGGGATAGGTTGGGCTGGGTCGCAACATCCATGGGTTTATGTAAGACAGGGCTGGAGACAAAACTGACCCAGTAATTGCAACTAGCAGTGTATTTGTAGGCTGATATGGGTAATGGACAGAGCTGGACCCTGTACTGACAAGCATACACAAGTGTCAGGTCTGGGATCATTTCAGCCAAGGTTTATTTGGCTGGAGAGGTTTTTGGTTTAATCTTGACTCTATTTCCATTTCATGCCTTCCTTGGGAGTTTCACATGGCTCCTTCTGGGTGTCTGGTGTTAAAGAGACAAGCTACTTTGGAAATGAATCATCACAAACACATTTGAGTATTTTACAACGGGCAGTTTCTCAATTCTGCACCCACACCAAGTCAAAATTATTTACTGAGTGACTTAGACAAAGGCCAGAAATACATATCAGGTCCAGCATGATGGCTCAGTGGCTAAATCCTCACTTTGCAGGTGCTAGGATCCTAAATGGGTGCCCTGGCTGCTCCACTTCCCTCTAACTCCCTGCTTGTGGCCTGGGAAAGCAGTCGAGGATGGCCCAAAGCCATGGGACCCTGCACCTACATGGGAGACTCAGACTCAGAGGTTCTTGGCTCTTGGCTTCAAATCAACACAGCTCCAGCTATTGCTGGAAGATCTTTGTCTCTCTTGCTCTGTTAATCTGACTTTCCAATAAAAACAAATAAATCTTTCTCTCTCTCTCTAGATATATATGTATATATATGGATATCCATATATTTATATCTATATAGATGTAAACTGCCAGGGACATGCATAGGTAAGTCTGGGTACCAATGTTTGCCCTCCAACCCCAAAATAGCCACAGCTTTAACTTCATCACTGCATAATCACTAGCATTTCTAACCTAGAATATTTACTTCGTGTCTATTAAAAGCATGCTTAAGATTGGGGCCCGGCAGCATGGCCTAGCGGCTAAAGTCCTCACCTTGAACGTGCCAGGATCCCATATGGGCGCTGGTTCTAATCCTGGCAGCTCCACTTCCCATTCAGCTCCCTGCTTGTGGCCAGGGAAAGCAGTCGAGGATGGCCCAAAGCCTTGGGACCCTGTACTCACGTGGGAGACGCGGAAGAAGTTCCTGGATCCTGGTTTCGGATCGGCATAGGATCGGCCATTGCACTCACTTGGGGAGTGAATTATTGGATGTAAGATCTTCTCTGTCTCTCCTCCTCTCTGTATATCTGACTTTCCAATAAATAAATAAATCTTAAAAAAAAAAACAACAGCATGCTTAAGATTGAAACAATTTGTGTTCACCATCACCTATATGAGCAAGGATCCTGAGATCTTCAAGAGGAAAAGCCTTAAATCTATACTTTCCTAGCAACCTACTTAGGCAGTAATGTCATCTGTACTTGGTTCATTACCTTTCCCACCTCAAAGCAAAATCCTTCCTGTTAGTTTTCTTATCTTAAAAGAGCAACATTTTTTTTTTCTTAGAAGAGACTCCAACAACATTCTCAGAAACAGAAAAGAAGACACAAAAGGTCTTCTGGAATCGCAAGAAACCATGAGTAGCCAAAGCTATTCTGAAGAATAAAAATCAAGCTGCAGGAATCACAATTCCAGTCTTCAAGACATACTACTGAGCAGTGATCCTCAAAACAGCTTGGTACTGGTACAGAAACAGAGAAGATTAATGCAACAGAACAGAAACACCAAAAGGGAGCCCACACTGTATGTAGCCAACTAGTCTTTGGCAGGAAAACAAAACAATCCAGGGAAAAAGCCTGGTCTATTCAACAGATGCTGTTGGAACAACTGGATAGCAGCTTGCAGAATTAAGAAGCAAGACTCGCACGTGCCACATGATACAAAAATCAGCACTAAATAGTTCAAGGACCTAAACTTGCACCTAGAAACCATCAAACTATTAAAGGAAAACATAAGAAGCACTCTCCAGAAATAACAATTAACACAATGGGAGAAAATTTGTTCACACTATACAGGTGTTAGGGAACTAATATCCAGGATTTACAAAGAGCTTCAGAAACTCAGGGGCAGTCAAACAAAACAAAACAAAACAAAAACGCTGTTTAAAAAATGGGCAAAGGAAATGAACAGACATTTCTCAAAAGAACAGATTCAAATGGATAACAGAGATACGAAAAGATGCTCAGACTCCCTAGCTGTCAGGGAGATACAAAGGAAAACCATGTTGAGGTACCACCTAACTCCAGTGAGATTGGCCTACATTCAGAACTCAACTAACAACACCTGCTGGTGTGGATGTGGGGAGAAAGGCACCCTCCTTCACTGCTGGTGGTAGGGCAGGCTAATAACCACTATGGAAATCAGTATGGAGAGTGCTTAGGGAATTGCAAATAAACCTGCCACATACCCAGCTATCCCACTCCTAGGGATATACCCAAAGGAAATGAAAATTGCATATGAGAAGGGGATCTGTAATCCTATATTTACAGTGACACAATCTACAACAGCAAAGACATGGAAACAACCCAGATGCTCATCCAGGTAGGAGTGGTTAAGGAAACTGGTACATCTATTCCATGGAATGTTACTCAGCCATTAAAAAGAATGAAATTATACCATTTGCAACTAGATTGTCCCAAAACAGTGAAATAAGTCAATGCCAAAAGGACAAATACCATATATGTTCTCTCTGTTATAAGGAAACCATCATGCAAATTTTAAGTTAAATAACCCTTTCCATACTATTTCTCTCTTTGGCTGCAGCCCGTGCGTTTTGATGTTTTTTATTTCATTTTTATTTCTTCAAAACACTTTCTCTTGTCGAATTCAACGTTGGCTCATGGATCACATGGTGGCATCATTTTACCCAAGGGTAAATGTGTTTTCTTTCCATCACTCGTGTTGGTTATTCAGTGGCACGTTTTTTCTACTCCATGGTGTAACTTGTTGTTCTAATTCATACTGATTGTTGACCTTATTTCATGGCTTCTCATTTAAGGGAATGTATAGTGATGGAGTAATAGAGACTCCCATACTTAGATGTGGAGATACAATGCAATATGCACCCCTGCTTCCAAATCAAACATGGCCGCCATCCTGCAGTGACACACTAAAATGACCAGGAATCTCAAGGGCCTGGAAAAACAGGAACCGCCACTGCAACCGGCACACACGTACCAAATGAAACATACCAACACACAAACGAACGAGCGAACAAAAAGGGAGAGACGAACGAAAAGCAGGCAAAAAGAGGGAAGGTGAACGCAAAAGGTTTATTGCCGAAAGCGGGCTGCTTATATACAGTTCTCCACCAATCACTTCTCCCTGTGGGTATACTGGGTGCTACCTGATAGCATAATCGCAGTGGGGGCATTAGCCTATCCTTGTGACTTCCTGTTTACCTACTGGCGGGACAAATGAAACTGTTGGATGTTTACACAATGGATGCTGGACTGTCTGACATTGTCTCTCTCAGCAATGTTGGGGTATGCTAAAATAACTGACTGCTGGAATTATGACTCATTATGAAAGACTATACTATTGTAACAGCATGGGGAAAATCAGCTGGGGTGGTGAGACTTAGGGGGAGGGTGGAGAATCCCAAACTCCACAGAATTAATAAAGTGTGAAATAAAAAGAAAAAAAAAAAAGCACCAACTACTTTTTTGTAAACTAATCTGACAGTATCTTGGAATATTTTTTTATTTGCAAATGCATTTGATTCTAAAGGAAGGCATAGAAGAGCTCCTTGCTGTGCCTGTCACTCACCCAAAACTAACTTGGCAAAGTGACATTTATGTGCTCATATAAGTTAACAATGTGTAAAGCATAATGATAGAGAAGCTAATATTGGCAAACACATGATCTTCAGGCATTTATTAGGCAGTATTAATGATGTATGTCATTTTATCACTATCCAAAATGAAGCTGTGACAACCATTTAAGGGCAAGAAGTATGTATTCAAAGATACAAAGAGGATCACTAGACAGAATCAAAGGAAAATAAGTGGCAATACTGCACCAATGCAAGACAAAATATTCTTTATTGACAGTAAATGCACAGAGTGCTGTAGGTAGGTAAGGCATGCTACTAGGATTCTGCATATAATCAAAGACCAGCATGGAAATGAATGGGAATGGATGCTGTTTCTTAATCCTTAAAGTTTGAGTCCACTGTGAACACTGGAAACATTGTCCACTTACTTCAACATATTATACTTACTTCAACAGAAACCCATGCCTCTCTTGAGATTCCAAAGGCAAATAAAAACTTAACTATACTCAGGGGTCACTCCTCATTATCAAAGATTTCACTGACTCAACTGAGGCCAAGCTTCCCTTGGAGACAAAGACCTAGAATTCAGCATGTAAACATCCATTCATTTCTTTAACAATAAGCCAATTTTACTGTCAATTATTCTACCAAAATCAAATACTAGAAAATCTAGACTTAGGATACAAAGAAAAGTTTGCATTTTAACATTCTGTGATGTCATAAATTTGAGGCTAAAACGATCCCTTTCTAATTGAGGGTAACAAACAGAGTTCCAATTTCAATAGCTGAGCTTCACAGGGAGGGCCTGAAAAAAATAATGCTAATCAGAGCTTTATTCCTTTGATGAAACTATCAGGCTCCAGACTTGTCATAATCGGCGCACAACCGAGGAGGAAGGGCTGACATGCTCTGTAAAGCCCCACTAGTAGATAAGACGCTCCATTTCCCCTCCTTTTCAAACAGATTTAGATTAAGTGTTTTCTGCATGAACGCACACTAACTTCTGTTCCACTGTTTTCTAAATGCAGTACTGTGGGTCTAACAGTGTGCTTTCATTTCAACACAGAATATGCACAGCCTCTTTAGCCTGAGATAAAAACAAATACTATGAAAACTATTTATCAAATACCCTGCTATTAGGTATTTTTAAAAGCAACACAAGACCAAAAATATCCAACTATTTCTTTATTTATATTACTATGCTTAAGTTACATGGAAAAAAAAGGCAACCAAGTAGTTCTACGCCATCAACACCAGTTACGTGGTGACACGTCACAAGGGACAGCCAAGACTGACAGGGAAGAATGGGCCACGGTTCATCTCCAACAAGAATATGGCACACGGCCAGCACAAGCCATGCTAACACTGAGCCTTTAGCGTTGGGCACAGATTCGGATCTCTTCTCTGAAGCTAGCAAATCAAATGACTTCTTACAGAAAAATGTTTTAACATGAAGCCCAAATAAGTTTAAAAACCATGCTCTTGACATTTTCCTCCCAAATTTTTACATAAAACACTTCCTCACTCTCGAACAGTCCAGAATTTTTTTCCTCACACAGCCCACCTTGTAGTTGCAGACTCTTTTGCCTCAAGATGTAAACACAGGGAAAAATAACGGGGTCTGCATAACATTCTCTCTACACACTGCTATTGGATGGAAAATGCAAAATTAAAAAAAAAAGAAACAAAGAAAGGTTCCATCTTAGATTCTCACAACTTCTTGTTCTGCAGTTCATGAATCCGACTCTGATGCTCAGGTGACAGTGTATGTAAGTAGATTTTTGTTTTCAGTGAAGGAGACCTGGGAGAAGATGAATGGGTCTCTCTTTCTTCAAGAGTTATCAGACGGTACATGCTCCTCAAAACCCTCACTCTCTCGAACTAGTGCTCGTTCCAGGATCACGCGGCCTTCCTTGTAGCGCTGGCTGTCTTCAGTGGCAAACTCATAGATCCATCCCAGCTTGCTATTGCAGTTCTTGCAGCTCACATCTCGAACCATGTGACGGCCAGTGAGCATGACCCGGTCCTGAACTTCACTGTACTGCAGGTTAACCACCTAAGAAGCCAGTAAAAAGAAAATTGCAAAGGTACATATTACTTATCAAATAAGTACATAATAATATAATTAGTACAGTAGCAATTTTAGCAACAGAAATTAACTTTAGTCAAACTTACAATACCTTGCCTTAGAACCATCTTTTGAAACTACTCGGATAAGTAAACATCTGGAACTCACACTGCAGTGGACATTAAATGCAAGCATGCATTATTAAACTAGCCCAAGTTGCACTATTATAATTATCCTTCTATATTGTAGTGAAGAGTCCTGGAATTTGAGTCACAAACTGTACATTTGGATCCAGCCATTACCACCACTATTCAGTAATGAGCACAGTAAGGTAAATAATGTGAAAACTCCTAGCACACTACAGAATATGTCCAACGATGGGTATGTTTGCTTCTGAAATACATTCTATATACACACATGCTGGGACGCAGCTTACTACAAGACTGCACTGCAATGCAGTTTTTAAGCTTAAAAGACAATGAAAACAATGAAGTGGGTTCTAAAACAATCTGTGAAGAATTTCTGTTAATTATGAATACCCAACAATCCCTACACTTTCGTGTAAAGAGTCACAGGAGTGTTTCTGGCTTTGAAGGTTGGATAGTCTTATTGCAACTATCTCACTCCGATGTTACAGCACAGTCAATAACAAGCAAAGCACATGCATGGCCATGTTCCATCACATTTCATTGACAAGCATTTGGTTCGATGTAATAGACCAGGCTCCTGTTCTATACCTAAGCAGAGGTCAAGAGGAACAGATCACCTACAGGAAAACTAAACCTACCTCGTCAGGCTAGGCCTGTCCTTACACCTGAAAGTAGAAATTTAACTTGGCCAGTTCACATCAGGCTCCAGGAGGCAGAATCACATCAGTTAATTTCAACTGGAATACAAGTACACTTGCAAATCAGGAAACCCTTATGAAATCCACATAATAAGTCAAATCATAAGCAGAGATGGTGAACATGAATTAGAGAAAAGGTTAATCAGATGATCTTTTATGAACTTTTATTGGCTATCCGTAAGAGTTCACACCTCTCCCTCTCCATGGATAAACGAAGCAATGTGCGAGGGGAGGAGGTGGATGTCTTGGCTCCTTCTGGGCCTGTGCTCAAGTTTCTGCCAAATTCTCACACACTGTACATTTCCTGATGCCACAGAGACCGCCCTTATCACATTCTTTACACCTCAAGGTCAATAATCATGCTCTAGTTAATAGCTCTCTGGAGTCTGCTCAAAAACAAACTATTGGGCAGTTATTTGTAAAGATTTCAGTTCTACACTCTTCCTGGTCTCCAAGCTCTGATGCTGTTGTCAACTGAATCCACACAGGAATGAAAACGGTTTATTTTACTAACCTTGTTAAAGAGAAACGCTCTGCCAGTGGCGCCTGTGAACCGAGTGGAGATGAGTTCTGAGCGGTTGGTCAGGATCGTGTCACAGTTTGCACAGGAAAACAGACGGGTACCACCAATGTGATCAAGGAAAATTCTGCCCATTTTGATAGCTGAAGCTCTAAACACCTAGGAACAAATGGAAAGAATAAGAAAACTGGGGGACCTTAGGGGAACTACTTATAATCTGCTTTGTCAGACCTGATGTGAAAAGAGCTGACTCTGAACTAAAGGATCCAAAGTTCACTTGCTGAATAAACAAGCAGGTCCAAGCTAGGAGCACTTTAGAGGCAGCTGTTCAAGTGAGCAGACATGTCTGGGCAAGGCCAAGGAAGCACATCACCTCTCTTTTGGCGTTTTTAAAATGAGAGTAGAAAATCAGTTAAGAAATCATATGATTGAAAACACTGCCAGAGAAGTGAAAACAAAGCTGTATCACACACAGTGAGTAAAGATTCCGAACACCTGTATTTCTAGAGAAGGCCTGTGGGGTATGAGTGGGATACAAGGGCACAGCAGAGGGAGCATGGGGAAGCCAAGAGGGTCGCTGTGATTGGGGAGCATGGCCTGAGTGGGTCTATGGTCCATGGCCACACCTGCGCTAGACGGGCTGATGGCCCTACCTTGACTCATTCCAATGTCGAAGGCAGCACTGTGCTAGGTACTTTAAAATCTTCAGAAATCTGTAAAATTGCTAACAACTCCACTTTGTAGATCACCCAGAGTCATCTAAAAAGGTTATTAATTTGTCAGAAGTTAAGTACAAAATCAGAAGGAATGCAGTTACTCAACTCAAGGTTAAGCACTTTCACCCACTGCCTTCTCCATGAAGAGGGTACCAAATAGTGGGGCAAAAAGCTACAGCAATAGGACTGCTTAAACACTGAAAAAAAAAAAAAAAAGAGCTCTGGAACGAACTTTTCAAACTAAGAAGGGAGCAATTAACTATTTTCAAGTTGAGAGTTAATACTGGCAACTTCTTAAATTCCCTATACTTTATTTCCCTGGAGAGTATTTTTAAAGATCAGGCATATTTTAAGAACACACCACAACCTTCATTTTAAAAAGTCCTAACAGTTAAAGTGCCACTTGTAATGCCTGCATCTCCTATTGAAGTGCCTTGGGTTCAAGTCCCGACTCTGCCCCTAAATTACTGTGTAGTGCTAACGCATGCACTAGGAGGCAGCAGGTAGTTGGTTTTCTGCCACACGTGCGGGAAACCTGCACTGAGTTCCAGGTTCCCAGTTTTAACACGGCCCAGCTTGGACCCTGTGAGCATCTGGAAAATGAGCCTGTAGACAGGGGCTGTGTTTCTGTATCTCTGCCTCTCAAATAACTAAATAATAGTAATAAAAATTTAAAGGTCTTATTCCTCAGTACAGTTATCAGCTCCTGTGTTTTAAGTATTTAAGAATGGAGCCCAGTGTGTTAGCCTAGTGGCTAGGTCCTCACTTTGCATGCGCCAGATCCCATATGGGCACCGGTTCTAATCCCTGTGGCCCTGTTTCCCATCCAGCTCCCTGCCTGTGGCCTGGGAAAGCAGTCGAGGACAGCCCAAGCCTTGGGACACTGCACCCATGTGGGAGACCCAGAAGAGGCTCTGGGCTCCTGGCTTTGGTTTGGCTCAGCTCTGGCCATGGTGGACACTTGGGGAGTGAATCAGCAAACAGAAGATCTTCCTCTCTGTTTCTCTTTCTGTTTATCTGACTTTCCAATAAAAATAAATACATCTTTTTTAAAAAGTAAATTATTTAAGGATACAGTTTAAAAATAAGATTTTTGTTTATTTGAAAGGCAGAGTTACAGAGAAGGGGAAATAGATCTTCCATTCACTGGTTCACTCCTCAAATGGCCGCAATGGTCAGGTCTGGGCCAAGCAAAAGCTAAGAGCTTCTTCTGGGTCTCCCATGTGGGTATTAGGGCCCAAGCACTTGGGCCATCTTCTGTTGCCTCTGCAGGTGCATCAGCAGGGAGGTGCATCAAAGCAGAACAGCTGGGACTCAAGCCAGCACTCATAGGCTAAGTTGGTGCTGCAGACAGCAGCTTAACCTGCAAGTGTCAGCACCAGCCCCCAAAATATACATCTTTAAATGATATGCAGAGTCAATATAGCTGCCTCTAGGAAAAAAGGAAAAAATTCCAGAATGTAGACTCCACTTTCATCCTCATTTGGGAAAAATTTCATTAGAAATCAAAAAGAAAACTCCATTCCTTCTTTAGATCTACAAACTTTCTGAAGCCATTAAGTAGGCAGCCCAAAAATTATCAGAAATGCCATTTACAGAAAGGTGATTCCCTAAATACATTATGTGAAAACTTAAGAAACCTAAATAATAATTAATACAATTACAACCTGCTACTAACACATGGAAAAATCAGAGCATTAACAAGAACAGAAACAAATCACAACTAAATGGATACCAACATTATGGTACAGTGGACTAAGCTGCAGTGTGTGCCACCGTCAGTCCATAAGAGTGCCAGTTCAGATCCCAGCTGTTCTGTTCCAGCTCCGTCTTCATGTCTCTGGAGAAGCAGCTGAAGACAGCCTACACGTTGGAATTCTGCCACCCACCTGGACCTGGCTGAAATTCCTGCTTCCTGGCTTCTGCTCGGCCCAGCCTTGGTCCTTACTGGGGAGAGCCAGAAAATGGAAGACTTCCCTTTCTCCTTCCTTCTCCCTAACTCTGCCTTTCAAATAACATACACATATTTAAAAAATACGTAAAAAGGATAAAAACCTAAGGGATGACATTCAACTTTTCCATAAACTTCTGCAAAAGGAACACAAAGGACAATACTTAATGTCTAGCTAGCTTTTCAGCCTTCAAGATTATAGCATTATTTTCCCTAGATGTATAAGATAATAATTGCACACGTAAGTCAGAGGTTGTAAATTTCAGGCTGGCATGCTGCATTCATTTAGTGGCCTAAAGACTACATCAATGAAAGACAAAATCGTTCCTTCAAAAATATGTACAGACATGTTGGGGTCCCACAGTTTTTATTCTCAATAAAATCAGGTGTATTATCAGTATTATCATAATTTTAGGGGGAAAATCATACCCTGAAATTCTAACCATGGCAATATCTGACAACATAAACAGTCTGACAAGTGACTACAGTTGAGCTGCACCCTGTTCCCCAAGTCATTTCATTTTCACTCAGTCTGCTTCACACAATCACTTCACCTGCTTCGTCCTTTCACCAACATTTGAATTAGTGACTCTCAACATACACAACAAAGCACTCGATGAATCAGTGAGGGGGTGGTCCCGGTCATGTGTCTTCATGCTCTTCACTCACTGAAGGGATCGACAATGAGGTTTTACAAGCTGAGGCCCAGTCCTCAGTCTCAGTTTGCTAGAAGACTCACATTTGTGCAGGCAGCCTCCAGCTAGGGCTTATTTTAAAGTCAAATTTCCTGTAAACTTTTAAATAAAAATATCCATATTGTAATTTTTTTAGCTGGATGCTTGTGATGTGGGCATGGCTGATACAGCGCCATCATGAAGCATGTACTAAAACTTCAAAATGAACTCTATATCTTCTGCCTACATCGTTCTATCTTAGGCTCAAAATTACAGCGTAGGTGTGACCATCTGGTACTGAGCGTAAACAGATTTATCATGCCTTCTTTTCCCTTTTCCAGTGTATCTTTTACTCCTTATCCAAGATTTTTTAAAATGAGATTCAATTATATGACTCATTACCAAGACCAAAAATATCCTATCAGAATTTTATGGTGCACCATTCCTAGCTTTGGTTGCCATTTCTAGAGTACTATACATGTATGCAAGCTGTAAAATGTAGTTTTTCCTTCCTAAAAACAAACAACCATGAAATTTAACAGAAGTAAACAAAGACATCATTTGCCAATGGTCTGGAGATGGTAGAAAACTTGCACCAGGTCCTCAGGTTGCAGGCGCTAAGTACAAGTTTTGCAGGGCTGGAAATGCAGCCCAGCGCTGGCTCGGCCTATGCAAACTCTGAAGAGGCTGACAGCAGTGAAAATGTCACAGCCACCATCTAAATGTCTGTGTCCCCTCAAAAACCCACCATCACAACCCAGTCACCAACGTGATAGCATGGTGACTGGGTCACAAAGGCAGAGTCCTATGAATGTAACTGGTATCCTCAATAAAAGTCCCAGAGGGCTGACCTGTCTCTTCCAAGTTGAGACACAGCTAGAAAAAGGCTCTCATCTGCCGGGACCTTGGATTACAGCCTCCAAAACTGTTGCTTATGCCATTCTGCCTATGGTGCTTAGTTACAACAGCCCAAGGCAGTCCCTTCATTATTTAAGAGGAAAAGTCATTAAAAACTAAGATGCAACACTTGAATCAGGCTTCTTCAGATCCTGATAGAACTTTAGTCTCAGCGTCTATACTTGTGTAGGACACTGCAGTCTGTACTTCACACATGACATTTAATTTTGACAATTTCAGAACAGGGATTTATTACCCAACTTTTACAGATGAAGATCGCATGTGATGTTCCAAAAATGGCCAAGCCAGGGTCAGAATTAACCATGCTCCAGTTGTTTTCACTCTACCAAGGGGCTGCGGGGAGCTGCCAGACTCTTTCTCCTCAGGCTTATCAAGAGCCCCTCACACCAACAGTGTTCCTCCTGCATATCCTAACTCAGCTGGTGGCAATTCCAATCCTAATTCTCAACTAGACACCTTGGCAATTTCATAAAAACATAAATGAAAAACTGAGGATGCCTCCAAAATCACTACTAAAAGTCTTTCCCCACACCTGCCCCAGAGTCATCTCTCATCACACCCAGTACACCTGCGCAGTCACGGAGTGTGCATTCACAAGAGTCACATCTGTCGTGAGTTACACAAGACTCCAAAAACACACCTAGAGACGGTTCTTTTCTCACAGAGGAAAATAGCTGATCCTTTTTAAAACAGCCTTATGAAGGGATATCTTATACACAATAAAAGTAACCTACTGTAAGCATACAATAATTTTTAGTAAATTTATAAAATTGTGCTACCAGCCCCACAAATTTTGCTTTAGAATGTTTCCATCATCCTCCCCAAATTCCCACTATCTGGTCTGCAGCCAGTCACTCCTACATCACACTAAGCCACTGCCAAACACCTGTTCATCTTCCTGCTTGATTACTGTCCCCGGCGACACATTTCTGAGCTGCTCATCACTTCCGATCTCCTCCATCACATGTTTCTAAAGCTTCCTAAGCGCAGGCTGCTTTTGCAGGTGCTAACTCTGTTGACTGTGTGATACTTTACTGCGTCCATTCATCTTAAAATGGGTGCTTTTTAAGCCAGGAGCGAGGAGCTTCTTCCAAGTCTCCCACATGGGTGCAGGGTCCCAAGGCCCTGGCCACCCTGTACTGCTTTCTCAGGCCACAAGCAGGGAGCTGGATGGAAGTGGGGCTGTCAGGATTAGAACTGGTGCCCATATGGGATCCCAGCATGTGCAAGGCAAGAACACCAGCCGCTAGGCTATTGCGCCAGGCCCACTAATATTTTCAGTAAAAATTCCCAGATGCTATAAGGCCTCTTAGATACTAGTATTTCAGAATCCCGTGTTGTAAATATGAATAAATATGAAAAATACTGCACTTGTTTTTAGTTGGGAATCTATTCTCAATTATTTAAAACCTGACAGATGAGGGGTCAAGATGAAAACATATGAAATCCATAGATGATTCATAGATATTCTAGCAGTTATTTTCCCATTTCATCATCTTCTAACAAACATGACACTTAGCCACCCAGAGCTTCCGATTTTATCAGGTGACCTGGTGAAGCAACCACATTTAAGGACCTCTGCCTTTCTATGGCATTCTAATTTACAGAATTTATAGAACCTTTCAGAGAAGAAAATATTTTTATTTCAGAAAAATCTTGGAAGACAGTCTACAGGAATTACATTAAAAATTGGACATGATGTACTGTATGACTTTTCTAGTTTCCAGACAGAAACTAGAATTCTCTAGTTTCCAACTCCTTGGGTTCAGAGTTTAGCTCTCTCCCCTGACAGCTTGGTAAATGCTGGGCAAATCACAGTGACATCCGCTTATTAGACACACACATTTCTTTGGCACAGGGAACGCCAAAGAAAGGTTGGTAAAAATCAGACTGCCTTCCTCAACATTTCCAACGACCTCAGCTTCCCTCTATCAAATATGATGAAAGCGAGGCTAAGATACAAAACAATCAATCACCTGGCTCCACCTCTTCTTAACTACAGCACAGTTCCGTACCAGGTGGTGGAAATGATACCCAGAAGCAGATAGCAACTTCTGAAGCACCTCAGATTCTTAGCGTCTCAGTTCTAGATCCTAAAATAGGTACCTACCCTTCCTAATATTAATAATACAGTCTAGTTTCAAATGTGGCATTAGACGAAGGAGTCACCAACTTACCAGATCTAAAAATACCAGGGAGGAAAATGGGTATCAATTTGCATCTCATAGAATATTCTGATAAGAAACCACCACCTTCACAGGCAGATAAAGGAATTTTATCCTTTGTAAAGGAATTATCTTCTCAGGGCATTTCCATGGAGACACAATACACCCTCCCTCTCACCCTCCTCTCTCAGCCAGAACTCCAGTAGACAGGCCCAGGGCGACAGGCTGTAGGGAATCTTCAAGTGCACTAACAAAAGGGTGGCTCCAAAGGAGTTGGGGATGCAGAGACCCAGCACAATCTGTTGAACAATCCATCCCTTCCAGAGGCTTCATTTTGCTCGTGACCAGGTTCTTGGTCTCTTCCCTCTGCACAACCCAGTGCTTTAAACACTGAACATTCAAGGCAAATATAATTTTAGCAACCTTTTTCATAATGCTCTGTGTCCAATTCTATTAGAAACCTACACAGAAAACAGAATTTGATCCATACAACCAATATTACATTTTCTGTACAAGATATTTACCAAGCGAAGGTTTTTGTGACACAAGAAAGCTATACTATGCCCTGGCAACAGCCGCCAGCTTACTCTGCTTCATAAAATGATGTTCTGGTGGTGCAGTCAGGCCACTATTCGAAAGTAATTCCTCAATATGTTTTGTACCCCTTGCTACAAATACTGCCTATTAAATAAATTTTTGTTAAATAATATTGTCCTGTTTTGTTAAATACTTTCTAAGTTCACCATATTTCCACAAGACTGTTTGTTTAGTCATTACTAGTCACCTAATTCAGAGTCACAGTGAGGTGGGGGTCCGAGATGGTAACCTCTCCAAAAACCTCTTTACAAATTCATGATTTTTTGATAATTGTGAGGCAATATCGAAAGCCTCCCAGTGAACAGACAGGAGAATTTAGCTGTCTAGTTTCCTGGTGCAGGTGTCAAGTTCAGGTTTAGCTAGGTTCAGTTCCTACATGACACAGATATTATTACGTAGGACTGCCAGGGGACCTGATGGATTCATAAAGCCATTCAGACACTATAAAACACATGTTTTGTGCATGAATACGCATGACTACCCTTCACATCCCAGATACAGGTAGGACTGGCTCAGGTCTCAGGGACTTTAGAGAGTAATAACAAGCTTAATTTCATTTATTTTGGCCTTATTTCCTTTTATTTTATTCTTTCTAAACATTGAAAAGCCTAAAAGTTGATATCCAACCAGATAACATTTTAGAAAAAGTTATGTAAACATTACCAGCCTTGTTTATAAAAGTTACTGCCAAAATCCCATTTAAGTAGTTACCCTGTGCAGAGTTAACTCAGCACATTTCATGAAGTTGTCTTCCACAAAGAACATGGCCACTGGAGACAAACAGGGACCACAGTCCTCTCAGACTCCAGGCCAGGTGACATGTGCGGTGGTCCACCAAGGAGCGAGCGCACACTCCACTTGGGGTCCACAACAGCGCCAAATCCCTCAAGTTCCCTTTTCCTGCTACTTGTAAATGTTCTAGGCCTCCAACTGACCTCCCAAAGCCCTAATCTGCCCAGTAGTAACACAGTCTCTTCATTTTCTAGGACTAATCTATACCAACTCACACTGCTTGCTACTTCTCTCCTGCTCATCTCCCTGACTTGTTTTTGAATTCTTCTATCACTCATTTCTGAACTAACCTTGTACTGACACTCAAGTTCACTCGACCATGACTGCTGCTGCTGTAGAACAGACACAAAGTGTTTCCTAACTCCCTTCCTACCTAACTCAGCCCACCTACACCCAACAAACCTTTAGGACAACCTGCCAAGGCACTTCGCCCCTCGGGGACAAACAGGAAGCCCGGAAGCACCGCACTCTCTGGTTCCTCTTCCTCCTCAAGCAGTTGCAGCCCTACCTGTGTGCTATGTGGCTGCCACAAGGCAGCTACCTGACAGCCTACGACCCCCGTGGCTACTTCACGAACCAGTCAGCTTATTTTCCAAAAACGCAAGCTTAGCCTGAGGTTACGTCAGGTTTTCCATCTGTCCAGGAGACCTGGAGGAAAACTCCTCGGGTTACCACCAGGACCCTGTAAACAGAAAAAAGTTTACCAATAACTGAGCTATACACCTTGCCAGGTGCCCCTTGAAATGCGGGCAGGGGGACCAGTCGGTGTTAGGATTTTAACAGATTTTTGTAGTATTTCAGCCTCCCACTCCCGAAGGTCGTCCAGCGGAGTAGCAGGAAGGCAACTGCGACGCACACCTGTCCTCCTGTGGGGGCGCACGGGCGACCCCTACGCCGGGAGCACCTGCCCCCTCAGCAGCCACGGGGTGCCCCAGCAGCCGCCGCCGCCACGGCCGTGGGGTGTTTCAGCAGCCTTGGGGTGCCCCAGCAACAGCGGGGTGCTCCAGCAGCAGCAGCCGCCGCGGGGTGCCCCAGCACCCCCCGCCCGGCCAGCTGATGGCGGCCACGTGATGCCCACGGGCCAATCGGGCGCTGCCGGGAGGCCGAGCGCGGCGCAGGGCCTCCTCCGGCACAACAAACACAAGCCGGAACAGCTGGCCGCCGCGACGCCCGGCCCGCCCTGCCCGCCGCCCCCGGGCCGGGTCCGGAGCGCTGCAGGTCGCCCCGCGGCGAGAAAGGGGCAGGCGCGGACCCGTCCGGTGGGCCGTGCGCCTCGGGGGTCCCGGCGTAGGGGCGCGTTTCGGGGCGGGACTCGCCTTGCCGTCCGCCGCAAACAACTCAAAGTGTCCAGTTCCGACTGGAAAATCGGGCGGGTGGGCGCGGCGGCCAGGGGCGGCACGCCAGGCCTCCGCCCTCCCGGCGCGCGCCCCCGACACCGCGGTGGGGGCGGGGTGGGTCTGGGGAGGGGGTCCCGGGCCAAACTGTCCTCGGAGGGGGAGCCCGGGCCTCGCTGCGGGGCAGGGCCTTGCGGGACGGGGGCCGCCCGAGCGCCGCCGGGCTGGCTGGGGGGCTCCGCGCCCAGGGGTCGCGGCTGTTTGCGGCGGTGGCGGCGGGGGCGGGCCGCGCCAGGGCCTCACAAAGGAGAGACAGCGGGGCCGCTCGCCGCCCGGCAGCTCCAGCGCCAGGGCAAGCCGCCGAGGGCCGGGGAGTCGGGGTGGTCGCGCCGAGACCCCCGGGAGAAGCCCGCAGCCTAACAGGCACTTCCTGGCTGGGCCCCCGACCCGGGGCCGGGCCCCGAGCGCTTCGAAGCCGTCCGACCCGCAGGGTTCCTCAGGACCCAGGGCACCTCCCTCCTCACCCCCGAGGCCCAGCCCCTGCCGCGGTGCTCACCCGGAGCGGCGAGGAGGTTCCGCGGCTGCCAGCGTCTCTCGGCTCCTCAGCTGAGAAGAAGCCCCTCGGCCACCCGAATCTCCAGGTTTAGTCAGGCCCCGGCCTTGGCCCCGCCTCTCCCTGGTCGGGCCTCAGCGTCAATCACCCAGCTTAGCCCCGCCCTCCTCACAGTCGGCTCTCCCGGTTGGACCAGAACGCCCTTCATGTCCAGGCCCCGCCCCTCGCCCTGGCACCCTGCCCCGGCCGCTGGGCCCCGCCCCTCCCTCGGCTCACCCTCCCCCACTCCCGGCCCGGGGCAGGCTGACTGCGGCTCGCCCGCCCCTGAGCCTGCGCACGGGCTTCTTACAGCCAATCAGAGAGGCGAACTCTGCCCCCTCTCCCGCGACAGCCAATGAGGTGAGATTTAGGATCCACTCCCCTCCTCCCAGCTGAGAGCACACAACACAGCATCCACGTGAGTCAGCTTCTTAAAGGCGAAGGCTCAGCCTAATTGCAGCAGCTGGAACCCAGTGCGCTTCGCCCGCGTCACCAGGTGGCGGCTGGGGCCTAGCTTCCTGGTGCCCAGTGAGGCCCGGTTTTATGACAGATGAAAACAACAGGCTGTTTGTTTTCTTAGGAAGCAGGTATGAGGTGGTTAAAATGCGCCTTGTAATTCATGACCCCTCTAGGGACTGCCTTTGACTACCAAACCCCAAAGGCCCTTCGAGAACTTCTGAGGAAAACCCACGGAATAAAGTAGTTTTCAAATGTGCCCAACTTTACGTACAACTCCATGTCGTGCCTGGGTAGTGAAAAAGATTCTCCTAAGGCCTGGTCAGCTTCCATCTTTGCCGGCTCCTCCTATAGGGGCTGAGGTTGGCGGGTTCTCAGAACCCTTGACGCACCGAAGGGTGTTTGCAGTGTTTGGGCTGAATGAAATGCTGGCGGGCGTGGGGCTGACTTTGGCTTCAGAACTTTGTTCCCACCCAGAACAGCTGTTAAAACACCTCACAAGCCAGCCTCCGCGGTTGGCGCCCGCCTGCTGAAGCTGGGACGTGGGCATTACAAAGCATGGCTGCCTCGTCTGTGAGGTGAGCCACCAGGGGGGTGACTACCTGAGGAACCTGACTGGAACGAGCCGCGGATCCTCCCATCTTGAACACTGAGGAAGGCGAAGGTGTAGTGGAGTAAGAAGCCCAGCACAGGGATGAACTTGACCGGGAGTTATTAGCAACTTGGCAGAGAACAATGCAAAGTGTATTTGAGAAAGGAGAATCCAGATGAGCTGGGATGTAAGCGTGAGGTAAGTTGGGCAAATGGGAGAGGAATTGCACACGCAGGTTTCGCTTTATATGAAGGCTGCACAGAGCTTGCTGTGGATGAAGGGCGGAAGTGGCTAACGTAAACCCACAGCTTCATCCCAGGAGACAGGTGGTGATGTTTCTCCATGACTAGATATAGGGTGCTTGAGAAGTTTGATTTACAATAGCAGGTAGTGGTTCTGAGCCGACGGTCACACACTCCATTACAACATACATTAAAGATATATATATAAATCTTTATATATAAAAAAATAGAATATAAAAGAGAAATGAAATAGAATATAAATACTTTATAATGTAAAATAAATATAACATAATATAAAAGAGAAATGAAAAAGAGGGATGAGATGTTTGAAAAAAGTATCCTGTTGGGTGTTTGGTTAGAATTGTGTCACCTTTCTTTAAAATGAATTCATACTTCGGTGAAACTTTACAATTCAAAGGGCTTTCCCAAACAATGGGATCCATCTCTCCATTAATCAAGAGTTCTTTTACATGTTTTATGAGGTTTTGTGGTATAGTGGCCTTACCTCTAGGTTATATATATAACCTAGAGCTATACCATTTTTGAGGTTACATATTGGTATATGTGTTTTCTGGGGATGATATGGACTTAATTATGACACTTTCCCCAAGTTCATATGTTGAAATGGAACCCCCTGGTGACTCACAGTGTGACTGCCTCAGCCAGGACTTTCCAGAGGTGGTTAAACTAAGGCCATTAGGGTGGGCCTTGCCTGCCCAGTCTGACGTGTGTTCTTAAAAGAGATGAGGACATTTCAGAGTTCGACTTTTGGAGGGAGATGTGACCCTGAGAGCAGAGATTGCAGTGATGTGGGGCCATAAGCCAAGGGGTGGAAGCAGCCAAAAAGATGCCAGAAAGGCCAGGAAGCACGAGTTCCCTCCAGCCCGCTTGGCCAGGTGGACACAGCTGGGCCACTTTTCTGTTTTGGCCTTGTGTAAGACCCAGCTCAGACTCAGGACTCCCAGAACTGTAAGGCAATGGATTTGCAGTGTTTCAAAGCACTGGATTTGAGGAATTCTTATTATAGCAGCAGCAGGAAACTAATGGAGCACCTGCTTTCTTTACACCTGCCCCTATAGGAGCAGCTTTGTATTCTATTGAGTGTTCTTACTACTCAGTGCTGTTTATAATTTGCTTTTAATTTTGCTCATAACTGTGTTCTTTCTAATATATATGATTTCCATAGGTGTTCAATTCTCAGTTGACAAAACCCTAACACTTCCTGGCATCAGGTGGCACTAGTCAAGAGAGGAGATTATATTATCTCCCTCCACAAATGATGTTAAAACATCAAAGCCTTAGTAAAATTTGTAAAAATTCTCTGCAACAACAAAAAATGACTCTTCAAACTCTTAAGTTTTTCAGCAAGGGTAGTTAAATGTCTAAGTTAGGTGGGGCAAATTAGAGAGCAGATTAAAATGGAGATGAGCTGCACAAGCTTTAATGTTTTAATCAGAGCTCAGCTTCTGCACTGCCATGTGCTAGTATTTGAGCATGAGCACGTGTCAGAGAATTGCTACAAGCAGTAATCATCTTTGATTATTATGAGCACTGAATAATGTCATCCATGTTAAGTGCTTAGAGAATGTCCCTGGCACCTCTAATAAAGGTTGTTGCTGTGTTCCTTCTTGTACTGCCGTGACCTTTGACAACGGAGGTGTGTCTATGGTGGGGAGGTTGTGCTATTTTCCCTGTGCATCCACAGAACGTTTAGTCACCTCACTAACTACCAGGCAAATACTGATAGTTTTCTTTTGTGGTTCAACCCTGAATGGAGAGAGTGCTTGAAACACTGCCAGTAGTCTGTTATGATTCATACCCTGGAGGTTAAAAATGAGATGTTCAACTCATTTCAAAGCCTATCTACACACACAAAAGTTAATAAGCAGAGGTTCCTGGGCTTTGAAGAATTCTGTCAATGAGATTACAAACACCCTAGAGACTCCTATTAACAACGATAGTTGCTTAGGTGGATGCACTTTGAATACAAACATTTAGAATGTCACTGAACTGCCAGGCAGAGCTACGTGAACTGATACATCATAATGGCAGACATATATTAATAGGCAAAAAAAAAAAAAAATCAGGTTGCATAGAACTATATAATGGGGACTTTATAAAAAGTTTGTGGAATACCTGCTGGTTTGCATGAGCCAGGAATGGGAGAAAACTGGGCAGAGCTAAGCTGCAACACCTGTCAGCGAGAGTTGGGACTAGGGGCAGGCCAGAACAGGCTGCAGCATCTGATGGCAAAGGCCGAGGCAGGGCATGGGCTGTGCTGATCTGGGTCAGAGCAACTACTTGCACGTGTAAGATCTGTGGCTGGGAACAGACCTGGTTGGGGAGCTAAGGGCACACCCCAGCTGGACTGTGGCTTCCACTGGTGAGTATGAGAGCTGGAATGGGGTGGCAATCTGGGCTAGAAATGGCTGCAATGTCCCTTGATGTGGGCTAGATCTGGGGTATGCCAGATTGGGCTGGACTCCAGCACCCACTGGTGCTCATGAGATCCAGGGTAGGTGTAGGTCTGGTTGGGCTAGGTCTTAGCTCCTGCTGAACCACATGAGAGCTGTGTCTGGGTGTGGACCAGGTGTGGCTGGGCTGTAGCTATAAGAACCAGAATGGGTGTGGGCTGGTTGGGCAAGGTCACTGTTCCTGCCAGGACAGGATATGCACTAAGTCTGGGTAGCTGTTCCCCATCCCTGGGTAGTAAGGCCTGTGGGAAGCTGGGTGACGCATTTTCCCTTCTCTCCCTGTGTCCCTGAGATACAGGAGAAAGAAAAAGAAGGTTT